TTCACATGCACATTGGTCCTGCTCAGACACTGTTCTCTGTAGTGTCGTTGACGTGACTATGTTGCTGCAAACTGTTCCATTTTACTTTTATAACATGTTTTGCATTGTTGTAACTAGGGCTGAAACAATCAGACCAATCGTGATTAATCTATTAGCGAAATAATCCTTAACTAATTTAGTAATCAATTAATTGTTAACTGGCGTGTAGAGACTCTAAAACAGGCCTTTAGCTGAAAGAGCAACCCACTTAGAGCAGTAATTATAGCAACATTGTCAAAAAAGTACATAACAATTTTGCATTTAAGAGGAAAAAATTTTTTTCGTCTGTCAATATGTTATATCCAGAACTCAAGGGGAAAAGGTTTAGTTTTACCTGGTTTAATTTCAATTTAAGTCCCCTTTAAGGAATCTTTGGCTATCAGATAATTAATCGATTAATCGATTTGCAAAATAATCATTAGTTGCAGCCCTAGTTGTAACAGTCTGAGACAATTCAGATATGAAAATGCCTGAATTGTAAGTTATTCTTTTTTCTTTAAGGTGATGGAACAGAAAAATCATTTTATTTTCCCTTAGTGGAGACATTAGGGTACAAGGCTTTCACTGCAGTTCTTATTAACAGTGAATGGAAGTCGGCTGCTCAGATCAACAGTTGGTAGATAAACAAGAATCTGTTGCAGAAGAGAATCCATGAAAACAAAAAATTAACAATACAATTCAACCTCTAAATGTCAGTTTGAAGGTGACATTTAAAACCATTTGGTCATACTAAATTTGCCTAATCAGTTTAAGACAAAATGGAGCTGGAATCTACAGCTTTTAGAATTTTTCTATTAAAAAATTGGTAAAAAACATAATTTTTCTTTTCAAAAATATTTGCTACTTTAAGATGGTCTCTCTATAACATGAAGTTGTAAGAAAAGTTTTTTTTTTTTTTTATCTGTGGTGGTATCAGGAACAAATACAAGAGAATAGTATTATATATAAAACCTTGTGTTATGGTTTGGCTGATAATATCAATGCCTGAAACTGGTCCTTCACTCAGTTTTTCCTGTATTCTTAGAGTCTCCATTAAGTGTTGGGTCAGAAGTGTTAGTTCCATTTGTTGACCGTCAGTGCATGACATCTTCGATGGGTCTAATGGAAACTGTCGAGTGTTTGATGGCCCCTGTTGCCCTGCAGGCTCCACCATTTAGGCAAAGTCTGTTTGTTTTGCTCTGAAGAGTGAAAGCTGTTTCCTCTGTCAGGAAGATGATGGTCTGTTCACTGTCCCTGCAGGCGCCTGACAAAGTGTGATCCGCAGTGAGAGGTGACCCTCCCCAAAGTGCCTCATGGTGGTCGAATGATGCAAGTGCAAACCTAAAAAAAAAATGAATACTGTGCCGAGGCCCCGGCCGTCGTCCACTTCCCTGTTTGGTTTAGCAGATGTTGTCCTGGAAATAACTATAGTAACCTGTAATATGCTTTGGAGGGGAACTTTGTGCTGTGAAAACGGGGCTTTGACAGAGTGCAGATTCAGTCTCAATTTTAATTTGCATTGCTTTTCAGGCAAGATGTTTTTCATTTTAAACATTCTTGATGAGGTACTTTTTTGTGGCTCCGTTTTGGATTTTGTCATGTTCAAAAAACGCAGCGTTCATCTGGATTTTATTTCCTCCCTTCTCAGATCTTTGCATTCTTATTGGAGGACTTGGTCCAGCTGGGAGGGATGACTTTGACCATGAGGTATTTGTCCTATGGCATAGGGGCCCCTTGGTCTCCTCCCCCCCTACAGGCAGCGCTCCCATTTAGGGTCCCCTGGGACCCCAGCTGGAGACATTAGGGTTAATAAAGGAGAATGTTACATTTTTTTATTTTCTTCAACTAAATACATAAAAAACAACACATTATATTATCCTTGGAAAAAAGCTTCCATAATTTTACATCCTTCTAAGCTTTTAGGATTGTGTAATTTAAGGATCACTCAACACCACAAAGTTTAATCAGACATCAAAGCAGAGTGTGCTTCTCTTTTTACCTAAAGAACCATAAATAATCATCTTATTCCGCAGACAAAACTTGGCTCTCTTGACCATCAGCAGGGCAGCTTTGGTTTCCAGTTGCAATCACACAGAGCTTTGAATTGGCTCTGATCCAAAGAAACCAAACAGGTCCTTCAGTCTGCAGTGCAGGGTGGAGAGAATTGTTAAAGGTTACATCTCTCAGCTGGGCTTTAGCTGAGGAACAGAGCTGGTCGGTCGTGGGGCCTTGCTAAGCACTGCGGTGGATCATATTTGGACTTTGGTGCGATAACCCGACAGAAAGTGCTGAAGTCGAAAAGGAAATTCTACTTGCTCCTTATGGTTTTCCGCAAAAAAAAAAAAAAAAAAAAATAAATAAATAAATAAAATTCTAAGCTCTAAAAAGGTTGCAGGTTTTCTTTCCAACCAAGCAATAGCACATGTTCAGATTGGACTAACTTGCAGCCTGCAGCCACACAGCCCTTTCTGGAACCACTTTTACACCTCTAGTTTAGAGGATTTGTAGGACACATTAAACCATGAAGTATGGTGGTGGCAGCATCGTGCTATGGCGGTGGTTTTCTTGATCAGAAACCAGAAATCATCCATGGGTGAAACCCTGTGGAGGATTTTTATCTTCTGGCAGAACAAAAAAACAAACAAACCATCAGACCTACTATGGGATGGCTGAGAAGCACGTGGCCTGATCCAGGATTCCATTAAAATGAGAATATGTGTGGAAAGGCTATATCAACATAAGCAGATGCTTTCTGTGATGTCTATCATGGCAAATCTTATAACATTGATTGATTAACAGGCTAGTTAAAGGTTTATAAATGTTTCTTTTTTGTTATACAGGTGCTGGTCATAAAATTAGAATATCATGAAAAAGTAGATTGATTTCAGTAATTCCATTTAAAAAGTGAAACTTGTATATTATATTCATACATTACATACAAACTCATATATTTCAGATGTTTATTTTGTTTAATTTTGATGATTACAAATGACAACAAATGAAAATCTCAAATTCATCATATCAGAAAATTAGAATATTGTGAAAAGGTTCAAAATTGATGGCCCCTGGTGCCACACTCTAATCAGCTAATTAACTCAAACCACCTGCAAAAGCCTTTAAATGGTCTTTCAGTCTAGTTCTATAGGCTACACAATCATGGGGAAGACTGCTGACTTGACAGTTGTCCAAAAGACGACCATCGACACCTTGCACAAGGAGGGCAAGACACAAAAGGTCATCGCTAAAGAGGCTGGCTGTTCACAGAGCTCAGTGTCCAAGCACATTAATAGAGAGGCGAAGGGAAGGAAAAGATGTGGTCGAAAAAAGTGTACAAGCAAGAGAGATAACCGCACCCTGGAGAGGATTGTGAAACAAAACCCCTTCAAAAATGTGGGGGAGATTCACAAAGAGTGGACTGCAGCTGGAGTGAGTGCTTCAAGAACCACCACACACAGACGTATGAAAGACATGGGTTTCTGCTGTCGCATTCCTTGTGTCAAGCCACTCTTGAACCACAGACAGCGTCAGAAGCGTCTTGCCTGGGCTAAAGAGAAACAGGACTGGACTGCTGGTGAGTGGTCCAAAGTCATGTTCTCTGATGAAAGTAAATTTTGCATTTCCTTTGGAAATCAAGGTCCCAGAGTCTGGAGGAAAAGAAGAGAGGCACTTCATCCACGTTGCTTGAAGTCCAGTGTAAAGTTTCCACAGTCAGTGATGGTTTGGGGTGCCATGTCATCTGCTGGTGTTGGTCCATTGTGTTTTCTGAGGTCCAGGGTCAACGCAGCCACATACCAGGAAGTTTTAGAGCACTTCATGCTTCCTGCAGCTGACCAACTTTTTGGAGATGCAGATTTCATTTTCCAACAGGACTTGGCACCTGCACACAGTGCCAAAGCTACCAGTACCTGGTTGAAGGACCATGGTATCCCTGTTCTTAATTGGCCAGCAAACTCTCCTGACCTTAACCCCATAGAAAATCTATGGGGTATTGTGAAGAAGAAGATGCAATACACCAGACCCAACAATTCAGAAGAGCTAAAAGCCACTTTTAGAGCAACCTGGGCTATCATAACACCTGAGCAGTGCCACAGACTGATCGACTCCATGCCACGCCGCATTGCTGCAGTAATACAGGCCAAAGGAGGCCCAACTAAATACTGAGTGCTGTACATGCTCATACTTTTCATGTTCATACTTTTCAGTTGGCCAACATTTCTATAAATCCTTTGTTTTTATTGGTCTTCAGTAATATTCTAATTTTCTGATATGATGAATTTGAGATTTTCATTTGTTGTCATTTGTAATCATCAAAATTAAACAAAATAAACATCTGAAATATATGAGTTTGTATGTAATGTATGAATATAATATACAAGTTTCACTTTTTAAATGGAATTACTGAAATCAATCTACTTTTTCATGATATTCTAATTTTATGACCAGCACCTGTATCTATAATTGATTCAAGAATTCTGAATGAAATCTCTGTAGTGTATTTTGACCTATATTGGAAAATAAAGAATATAGCCGTTTTATATACCTCGTTGTGTTTATTTTTTCTACAAATTATGATATCACAATATTTACGAAAAAAGGTGCTTATTGTTGCATTTATTGTTTTTTTAGGCCTTTCTTGGCTCCCAATTAGTTCAAATATATAAGCTATCAATAGAAATCAGCTGTGCTGAAGCAGGAAAGCCTCTAAAATCTGCAGGAAAGTTGCCCCTGAGGACCGACTTTTGACATGACTGCTGTAAGGTCTTAAATGTGTTCAGCTTCTGCTTAAGATGTTATTAGATCTCTTTTTATACTATTTGTCAACAGGAAATTCCCAACATTAACTTTTACTTTGTATGCTTACAGAAATTAGGACATATAACGGCTTAATCCTTTCAGGATGATTATTTTCACATTTCTGTTTAAGTTGCACTTTCACATCTTTATCTCACAATGAGGTGATTAACACAGCTGCTTCTTTTCAGGCTCGACCCAAAGGTCAAGGCCTGACCCCGTATCAGGGAAAGAAGAGGTGCTTTGGAGAATACAAATGCCCTAAATGCAAGAGAAAGTGGATGAGTGGCAACTCTTGGGCCAACATGGGACAGGAGTGCATCAAGTGTCACATCAACGTTTACCCACACAAGCAGGTAAAATATTACATCTCAATTAACAATATTGTTATTTAGGTTAAATACGGGAGTTTCAGGTTTAGAGGATTTGAAACTGCTGTTTCCAGTGATGGCTTAAGGGGGGAAGAGGAGCGGTACATCCTTACATTACTGTAGTAATTATTATCAAAGTGGCAGAAAAAGGATGCATGTTTTCTTAATTACCAGCACTACTCTTGTATTTAGCATAGATCAGTATTCAGCCCTCCTTAGATCACTGATGTAGAACCATGTCTAGAAAATTTCAGAATAAGTCTGTAAGATTTGATCGAATTTTTGCTAAATGGTTTGATAGTTTTTTAAGTTCTTAATTCTTAAGGAATTAAGAAGGTTTAGACTTTGACTTTAGGACTCTTGATCTAAACTATTTCATTCTATCCCTGTATATTTGATTAGAGGTGTTTTTATTGATTAAATAAGAGCCTCAAACCCAAAGTCAACAGCTTTCTGATCTGGAAAACAAGCTGCTATATCCATGTTTCTCGGTGGCAGTGTTAGGTTTAAACCAAATGAGCACATTTTGGGTAAAATGTACATTTATTCTTATCTAACCAGAGGAACGTACTCTACATTTGCTGTAGCCTTCTTGTGGCAAAGAGAAAAAAAATTTTTTTCCCCGCTATGACTAACTTCTCTATAAAGGCAACAAAAATTGTACAAATGTTTTTTCCTGATGACCGATTATCTGAGTTGTACATCTGTGCAGCTCCTCCAGAGTTGCGTTGGGTTTGCAGTGCTGCCGTACGTTTTCCATTCTGAAGTAATGGACTGAGCAGCTGTGGGAGATGTCTGAAGCTCGGGTTTTACTTTGTAACCTGCTTTTCCCTGACCATCGTTTAATATTCTTGGTGTTGGTGATGCTGTTTCTTCACTACAGTTCTTAATTATTTTTCTATTAGCATCTATTAGCAGGTCAGTTCATCTGGTTTGAATCATCTTCCACTACAGTGGAGTTGCAGCTCAACGGGGGCTGGATCTTTCATTGCAAGGTGGCTCTAAAGTCCAAATAATGTGATTTGTAGAGACACCAACAGCAGCCTTAACTGCTGCTCAATTTATGGCTTTTCTCAGACTCAGATTAAAAGAGAAATTAAACAGAAAGCACCCACATGATGCACCCTGGATATGTACAGCAGAGAGACAGAAGCCATGGAGAATAAAACAGAAGGATAGGAACTAGAGGGTATGTGAAGGTAAGCTAATGCCACATAATAGCGTGCTGCGATAAGCCCAGTGTAAACAGATTTAGTCATAAAAGATACACAAATATCCCATGACAATGGTCCCATCCCACTAACTAATCAGTATGAACTGCCAGCAAGCAAGCAGGGACTGAAAATAACGATTCTTTGTAAGAGGTTATAATGGAAAAACAGTAAAACATATTGACCCAGAGAGAACCTAATTGGTACTAGAGGAAAAAGGAGCTAAAGCAACATGGGCTTCACAGAATTGCTAAGTTTATTCCATGATTATATGAACAACAGCTGCACCTACGACTTGTTGCACTGTATTGCAAGGATAAATCGCTTTTTTTTTTAATTTGTAGGATATACTTTTGCTTTTGTAACCTGCACTACTTTCCCTGGATTTTGGGGAAAAGTTTGGGCTGTTGTTCAATTGATCATTAAAAATCTTCAGACAAAAGAGTGAAGTTGAAAAAAAGAAAAAGAGAAACTCTTAGGTGTAAACTAGGTTCATACATTCCTGTGTGCACTTCTTTCTTTGTTTTCAGTGTTTTCTTATTGTATTATTGTTTATTTTTTCTGAATATATCCGAAGCATATTTTATTTTCAGTACAGTAACTCAAACCAACTACTTGTTGCTTTGTAAATTATTCACCCACGTAGCCGAACCTATCCGACATCCGGTTTAACATCCATGGCCATGGTCAGGCGCTTAGCCATATCTGCGTTACTTTTATTTCAGAATGTTTCACTGCCTTGTGTCGGTCTATAACAAAATCCCATTGCCTTACATGTTGTGACTCTAACACGACTAAATATGGAGCAACGAACCAAACTGTTGCATCTGTGACTTTCGTCACTGCATTGATTTCTCCCTTTCAGAGACCTCTGGAGAAACCAGACGGCTTGGACGTGTCGGACCAGGGCAAAGAGCATCCACAGCACCTGTGTGAAAAATGCAAAATCCTTGGCTACTACTGCCGCCGTGTGCAGTAGGAATTATTGCCTCTCCCTGCTATTTGCAGACCTCTTGGAAGATTCACCCTTTTGTATTTTACCTTTAAAAAAAGGATTTTGTACAGTGATATTTCTAACAAACATGTTTAAAACATTTTCTCTAAGGCAGCCTTAAGAACAAACGTACATCTCAGCAGAAAAGAGTCATTCTGTGTTCTTCAAAGTGACTCAGCTGTCTTCATTTTAATCTCATTACAGAATAAGTGAATTACTGTGAATATTAACCAGGTTAGCTCCTTCTGATTCTAGTCAAGTCTGTATATTTCCAAAATAATTCATTGCAAGTAATGCCATCTGTATAAAATATGCAAGTAAGAAGTATATTCAGTGTTAACATATCACTGCTTATAGGTACATTACTTTTTTCTATGATTTCTTGTTTATTAAATGTTTAAGAGGAATATATTTGATTGAAAGTTGCACTGTGACTGTTATGAACACACCACCCTAATGGTTCAGGGTTATGTTCACACAAGAAGCTATAGCAAAGATGTGAAAGGCATTCAGCGCTGGGAACACTCACCAAAGTGCCAATTAAGTTTGTGAGATGATCGCATGGGACCAAAGAAGGGAGATAAAAAAGTTGGAAAAAGTAGCAGATGTGGGGCAATAGTCGAAGGACACTATTTACTGAAGTAATAAAACCTAAGATGTGAAGTTTTATACCATGTGCCTCCTTTGAATAACAGATCTATGGATTATACTTCTATTAAAAGGCTTATAAAAGATGTTTTGTCTGTTATTTTTTTCCCCTCAAAATCGCAATCTTATGCATTGCTGCATTGATGTGGTTGCTGAAATTTTAAACCTCTATAGTTAAATTTGCATAATTATTGTTTTCTTTCATTTTTATTAAATGTGTTTTTTTTCCTCAGTGGGTTTACAAAATGTGCAAAATAATAAAGTGGACTTGACCGGGGATCGTGACAAGTGATATTTTCCATCCAACTACTCAGATGTTAAACATTATGGCTGGTTTATATTTTTATGGATTGCGTTGAGAAAACAAAGCCAAGAATTATTCCATCATTGCTTTTTGCAACCCTTCCTAAAATTTATAGCAAAGGGTGGGAAAAGTGCCACATTATATAATCTCCCATTTATTATAATAGGAATGATGGCAATTTATCTTACCACTGTTTAAAAACAGGGAAAAACATTTTAATCTTCTGTTTGCTACAGCAACAAAATTATATTATAGCATTTATCAAGCCTTCACCATTAATGCATAGAAAATTAGTTAATGACTGCTGTATATCTACTGATAAGCAAAGATGAGTGACATTTCAAGGAACAATTTTCCAGAAAACATGAAATCGGGTAACTGACTCTTTCAGATAAAAAGCAGCATTTTTGGACCAATTTTTAATCATGCAATGGAGGAAATCTTCAATAAACAATGAGCATCACATGGACAAAAATATGCTTTTCTTATTATCAATCAAATGTATGAAACCTTTAATTGACGACTCTTCACAAGTTCCCATTTAAAGGACTTCAGAGGCCCCAAAATAGGAGCCCACAGCATTCAAGTACCACCGTATGAAAATGAGAGATCCAGTGATCCATATTTACCACAGCGAGGTAGTTCTTTGCAATGTGAATAAAGAAAGGACTCTTCTGTTAAGATTACAGCAAGAGATGCCACTCTGATAGAACCCACTGTGCACATAGGAGTCTAATCAAGCTCTCCACAGTCTGTGATTGTGATCCTCTTGGAGGTGCGCCCAGACCGGGAACCATAGGATTCCACTTTCTTCACCACGTCCATCCCCTCCTTCACGCTGCCAAAGACAACATGCTTGCCGTCGAGCCTGGGTGAAGAAGAGCCCCTTTTTTAACACCTTGAATAGAGAGCCGTGGACGATCACCCGTCTCTGCAGAAAATGTCCATTTAAGCCAAAATTTTGCTTTTATGTTCAGAATATTCTCTTGAATCATTTAAAGGTTAGTCAGATATCAGGCTTAAAGGCACACCAATGACTTTGTCACCTAAAGAGCTGACGCATATGTGTCATTTTTAATGGGTCCTCAGGCCAATATACAGCGCTTGACACCATCAATGCTATGAGCGAGGCTCCCCTCTTGAAATATTGACTATGTAAGTTGGAAGAGACACACTGTGGTTGGCCAGGTCATGTGACCTGAGAGAGTGCATCACTTTACGGCCACAGGACCTTATAAAGTCATGGAGCTAAAGGCTTTTGCTCTAATAATTTTCGGTCTGCTCGACTACTGGTCATTGCTGAGGCAAGGAAAAAGTTTAAACCTTCAGAGGAGGCTAAAAAGAGGAATCGTGAAAAGGATCTTGGAGGAGGAAAAATAAGAGTTGTTCTTGGAATAGAGTTTGTTCGTTGGTGCAGGCTTAAAGAAGAAGCCAGATATAAAACCGATTCTCTTTTCTCAACTTTATTATTAGACTGGTTACACTTTGCTCCTAGTATACAGTCATATATCTTTGTTATTTTTGTAGTAGAAGCAACATACTTGCAGTTACAGCTATTGCGCCCCCCTAGTGGCCAAACGTTACACAGTGTGCCTTTAAAAGATATGTGAGGTGTAAATTATTCAATAGAATAAAGGACTGTCCTTGTACTGCTTCGACAGTTAATATAACTAAAAATATAACCATCATGACTGGTTTTTCATCAAAATTTTGGAAAGGTTTTGTGGAAAAAAAAAGAAAAAAAAAAGTGGGACATGTTTTAGGAAAGGAATTTGGTTCAGATATTCAAGTTTATATCTGGGTTGAATCCCAACTGTTGTTATGCAAATTTCAGCACAATCTAGATTTTTAGTTTTGTAAAGGCAGTGAAAGCAATAAACAAATAATAAAATAGAGAAATGATTTATAATCAACTAAAAGGATCAAACCAGAAAACATAATTTCCATGGAAAGTTAAAAGGTGTCTGCACATCAGCATTTAAAAAATTGACGGTTCTGAAGTCGTAAGAAAAGATAAAGATGATGTGTATGATGTTCTCCAATTCTCAGATCTTTATTGATCTATTACCAAAAATGAAATCAACTTTAAGTGCCCACAATAAAAAAAAAAAAAAAAAAAAAAAAAAAAAAAAGTGTCCTGTACCTACCACTCTGTTTTTGCAGTACAAATGAAGAACTGGGATCCATTGGTGTTGGGTCCAGCATTGGCCATGGACAAAATACCTAAAAACACAGAAAGAGTAAATATTGTGATGAAGTCTAAACAAAAAAGTAGATTATTCTATTAAAGCAAGTTATGTTTAAACCGACTATAATCTGACAGCTAACACTAAAGAAGAAACTTGTTCCAAGATGCCAAAGATCTGAAACCATTTGTAGAGAGCTGCCACCTGGTGGACAAAAATAAACATGACCATGTTTAGGATATTGCCTTTCAGGGAAGAAAGTAAACAACTGATCTGTTCAACCCTTAATCATTAAGCAGAATGTGGTTTATTAAATAAAAATGCCTGAGCTGTGATGTAGATGAAAGTGATTGTGTTAGACGCATCATATCGATCACAGAAGTACAAACTGATGAAACATCAAATTAAAGACAAATTGTGTATTATAGGGGAAATATCGTTTTAAAATCAAATCCGTACAACATTGTGGTGAAACCATCGATTTACATGTTGAAATCAAGCATATTATTGGAAAGTGGGAGGAAAATTTCCATTAGAAAAAAAAGCTTTATATGAAAATGTAGTATTTGTTTCATTGCTTGCATTCAATCGTTAGTAACAATTAGCTGTTGAGCGTAATTAAGATCAGACATGGGGGATTTCTCCAAAAATTACTTTTTTTATGTCCACCAATATTGAGATTTTATTTTGGTTTACCTTTGGGCTAACCACAATAATTTAGATGTTTCCTTCCAGGGTTTGGTTTTTTCATCATTTTGAAAACTTGCTTGTCTAGAGTACATTTATGCATGAATTTATTATTTGTGCTGCATGAATACGTGCTTCTACTGGCGTGCACGGTTGTCTGCTCTACCTGTAACTTTCTTTTGGTTTCTGTTTGGCAGCAAACCCACTTTAAGAGCATTACTTCCGCCTAAAGGCTGGGATGAGATCAACTGTTGTTTTCATTAAGTGCGGCTGTGATTTCAAATTTAACTTTTGTTAAATTGCAATTTTATTGCAAAAGAAAACATTTGTCCTAATTAAAATGGACATTTAGTGAAATCCACTACCTTTGCATTTGTTGATACTAAGCCCAAAACAAGGTGTATTTTTTAACCATCAAATCTTAAATGTTAAAATGCTCACCTTACTCGCTCTAATATAGCAGTTTACTCCAATGAAATCTGTCTCAAGACTATAGTTTAGCAGATTTTAGTCCATGCATTTTTTTATTTCTTCAAACTGAACCTGTTAAAACAATCCTTAGATATTACAAAATAATTCTAGGATGTGCAATTTTAAAGATTTTTATGGTTATACTGCCTAATTTCAAACATAAAACTTAAACTACAATACAATTTTCAAGCACTTGTCATTTAAACCCAACCACTGCAAGATAACAAAACCACTTTTCTGCTGTTTTTGTATAAAGCAGAGCTCTAGAATATCCAGGGAGGCTTATGATTTCCCAATCTGTACAAAAAACATCAGGTGCCTGCATGCACAAACTTGTGGTTTTCTTCAGAAATACGGGTAAATTGTTCAACTCAAGATGTAACACGCCAGACGCTTCCAAGAGCACGCTGCTGACGGAAAAGGTTTAAGAAAATCTGGTTGGACTAACTTTGGGCCTGGAGGCGAAGGGAAGATTTTAACTCTTTGTGATGAATCTGCTCTTTCTGCAGCCTTTTTATGCATTACACAACTACGTATCCTTTTAGAGACACTCCAGCCATGTTATAGCTTCCTGTTTCAGCAATAAGGGGAAATTCTAAGAAGTTAGAGGGATTTTTTTCCCCCAAGTTCTTATTTTTCCTCATAATCATTTTACAAAATAATGGGGAAAGTAAGTTATCCTCTTCAGTTCCATACAAAGATCCCATTGATATTAATTTGCAATTCCTGACTTTGAAAACTGTCAAATAATGGTAAAATATTTTTCCAGAAGAGAAGTTTTTACCAGGCCCAGTGTGCTTCAACTGGAAGTTCTCATCAGGAAATCTCAACCCATAAATGGACTTCCCACCGGTTCCATTGTGGTTGGTGAAGTCTCCACCCTGAGAACAGGCACAAAGAAAGCTGAGCAACTAAACACTGCATATAACAGGGAGATAAAGAGAAGAACAGGCCTAGAGAAGAACAGGCCTACCTGGCACATAAACTGAGGGATGACCCTGTGGAAGCTGGAGCCCTTGTAACCAAAGCCATGTTGTCCTGTACAAAGCGCTCTGAAGTTTTCTGCAGGAAACTTTAACTGTCAGTCACTGGAGTTTTCTTTATTTGACTTTACCATTAGATACCATTATATGTGACAAATCTATGCATGCTTTTAATAAGTAAAAAATTTTTTAAATAAATTTCATACCTGCTGTTTTTGGCACAACATCTGCGTTGAGCTTTAAAAATAAAATAAAAATTTGTATCAAAGCAAATGACAGTGACAATCTGAAAGTAAATAATACCCCACAGCTGCTGGAAGCACCTACCTCAAACGTCACTCTGCCCAGAGGCTCGTTATCCGCAGCAATGTCAAAGTAAACCTTCGGGTTTTTATTAGCCGCTGCGGGGCCGTTGCTGTAAAGGCGCGCGGCGGTAAACGCCAGCGAGCAAAACT